GTTAATATAAATTTGCGTCTGTTACTTCTGCACCGTTGGATTCCATCGTATAGACTGTCAAGTCTATGTCTGTCGAATTCGTCCAGATCCCCAACAAGATATTGAATACAAGCGATTTAAACGAACCCAAGGATTTTTTGGCGGTAATGCCTATCAAACAATTCCAGTTTTTTACGCGACGAATTCAACACCTGCAAAATCTTTAAGACGTGATCACTTTTTGTAAAATCTGGGATCGAAACCAACTGTACACGAAATTTCCTGAAATATACTCATTTCAACAGACGCCGAGGATCAATTTTATCAGAGTACAAGTTTTAATAATCTTATCAAAACTTATCAAAACTTACTAAATTTGGCAATAGAGAAAAAAGTATATAACAGCTCATTAGTCTAAATATTTAGCGTATGATCAGTTTATAAACTTTTTACACTTTTGTTAACTTTTCTAGCAGCTTTTGCAACACAAAAGATATCAATTTATTTGAAACTCCTTCACTCTAAGGTTGCCGAACACAGTTTTTAAACTCTGAATTGTTACTATTCTACTGTTGTTGCAGTTTTGTTTGAGAAGATCTATCAAACATGCACTATGACAGTGTTAAACCATATTTCCAAACACCTCGAGGTTCGTCAAAAATACTCCGCTGCGGGTCGTATTTTCAATTCTCTTCTCGATGTTTGGAAATGTGATCAAACACGGCCTTTCGTGTTTGATATATTACTTCTCTACTGCCCACACTACCACTGTATTTCTATCCATGAAAGCATTTGGATGCAACCCAGTGGCTCTGGGGATGGAAAGCGGTCGAATATCTGACAGCCAAATTAGTGCCTCTTCGGAATTGAACGCCTTTGTGGCCGCCACCCACGGCAGACTAAACTTTCAAGAGAAAGGAGCTGGCTGGGCAGCTTTTATACAAGATGCTAATCAGTGGCTCCAGGTTGATTTAAATAATGAACGCACGAGTGTGATGAGTATAGCAACACAGGGAAGGACACATCAGAATAATTACCAGTATGTGAAGTCGTACAAACTACAATACAGCAATGACAATGTCAGTTTCCGATACTACAGGGAACAAGGACAAACTACAGACAAGGTTCTTTATTTCTTCAATTATATCTTTAAATTTACAGTGTAACTTGATTCGTAAAAAAACGTTTTCATTTTTTTTTTTCATTTTTGGTCAATTAAAATAATAAAGCTACAACATTTGCTGTTTTACCGATTCAGATTTTCGCCGGAAACAGGGACGCTGACACTGTTGTGTCACATGACCTAAACCCACCAATCACAGCACGCTACATCCGTTTTCGACCAATTACGTGGCAGTCCGGGATATCAATGAGGGTGGAACTCTATGGCTGTATACAAGGTAGGATTAAAAGTGGAGTTCAACGTGCTAATTGTATGAGGTTTTCCTAGACCTATCATCTATACTGAGTAGCGACATAAATTCGACATAAACAACATTACGACATAACGGCGTCATAGCTTATGTCGCAATGTGAACATGGACCTGAAAGCATAAGGAAAAGATCGGTTTTTTTCCTCATGTCGTTATGTTCATGTCGTTATGTTGCTCTTATGCTATTATGTCAGGATGTTCACACTGCAACCATAACGACATAACGTTCCTCTTATGTCGTTATGTTGCCAGTGTGAACTACAGGCGTTAGTTCAGTGGGAGTATAAATATACACATATGTAAGACTTTTAGTGTTAGCGGGCACTTCAATGAAGTTTTTACTTCGTTATCTGTGAGACGTTTGTGAGCCTCTTTCGTCCTATTTAAGCCATATTTTCCAACGCCTTCATCTGCGAGCCAAAAGCATTCAACTTGTTACTTCTCATGGGAGTGGAAATTTTCTGGGTGTTTTAAAATTAAGTATTATAAGGACAATGGCCCAGCCTATATTTCCAACTTTTACATAATTTATTTTTGCTTTGTTTTGTTGCATTTCGTTGTTTTGTTGCATTTTGTTGAGCTATGTTAGAATTTTGATATATCCAACGTGGTCTATCACAGAAAAAGCCGCCCAGCAGAAGGACCCTGGTACTATAGTTTCGTGGCGAAGCAGAAATACCAACATTGAAGACAAAACGGAGTTCGAGTATAAACAAGTCAACGAATTATTCACAAGCTATCATCAGCTGGCGGTCACTTCAGGAGATGAGGTCTACAAACTGAACATCCTCACGATTCCAAGAACATGGCTTTACGTTACATTCACGTGGAGCAAGGCCTGGGGCCTAAAGTTCTATCAAAATGGCGTCTTAGTAGCCGAGACTGGAAGAGCTAGGAAGATCGTTACCTCGGCAACAAATCCGACGGATGGTTTGTTTATAATTGGAAACA